AAGAGTTATAACGGTGTGACGTTTTCTATACTCTTACTATTTCGATGTAGTTTGTATCATGCATTTTGCTTCTTGTTTATATTGATTTATACGTGAATTATGATATATTGTTCGACAGTGACTCATTCGTCTGGAATAACCTTGTTTGCTGATGGTTGTGCATAAAGAAAATCTCTTAACACACCCGTGACGATGATGATGATGATGATAATGATCATGATAAAGATAATGATAATGGTGATAATGATAATGATGATAATGATAATGATAGTGATAATAATAATAATGATTCTAATGATGATAATAATAGTAACAATAATGATCAATATCAATAATAATAACAGTGATAATGATGGTAATGATAATGATGATAATGGTAATGGTAGTAATAATAATATCGAAAACAAATAAAGATGATGTTAACCACAACTGTAATGATAGCATGAGAGTAATAATAATAATAATAACAATAATGATAATAATAATAATAACAGTAATAACAACAAGAATAGCATTAATAATAATGATGATGATGGTAATGATAATGATAATGATAATAATAATTATCGTAATATTGACAATGATAACAAAAATAATGACAATGATAACGATAATGATGATAATGATAATACTAATACTGCTAATAATAATAATTAACAATAATGCTGCTGGCTAACAGCAACAACATAAAATAACAACAATAATAATAGTATGAATAATTATAATGACTAATAATGATAGTAATGATGATGGTAATGGCGACGATAATGATAAGAATAATAAAACACTACTACTAAGGAATAATGCTAGCAATGATAAATAAGAGTGTATGGCAATGAAATAATCATGTGAAGAACAATAGCATAGGAAAATTAGGAATTGTTCTTTACTGAAAGTACACCTAGGTAATTGTAGCAAAACAGAATGAAGAAATTAAAATTATCGATCTGTGGAAATTAAAAGGTAAATATATATTTTAAGTTCGTATTCCTTATTTCTATTCGTTGACAAAACGTTTCCTACGTCACGTCTATATTTAGATTTTGACGTCATTTTCGACCAATCGGTACTGAGGATACAGCAGCACCCATTGGGTGCAGCCAATCAGCAAGAAGCGCTTCACGCATGCGCCGCTGGAAGCCGCCGTGAGCCGACACTTTAGAGGAGACGTTTGAAGGAGCAGGTACGAGTAGTCAAATTTTGGTATATTCTATTCTCCGGGAACTATTCTATCTTCAAACATATTATGTAAGTGAATAGAGCCGTGTCAGAGAATATTTAGAGCTACATGGGGAGGTGAAGAGAACTTATAAAGTCTTGTTAAGTACTGACTTTTGATCGCCTTGTTGGCTCTCGGGGTATCTAGGCTCCTACAAGATGGCGGATTACTCGGCTATCGATTTCTCAGAAATTGACGAGCTTTGCAACTTTGTGGACGGTAAGGGAGGAATCAAGTTCAATTTGTTTGAGATAGATGAAGACGTAGAGATCAATGCTGGCATCCCGAGCCATGGCCTCATGGACGACGATGCCATGCTGGCTGTGGACTCCAGCAATGCCCTGATCCTGGGCGATCCTCTGCTCAATACTTTTGACCAGAATGAGTTGCTCGAGCTTCAGTCAGCATCACCTAGTCACAACCCCGAGACTCTCATGCCAGTTTCCCTTCCAGCGGACTCTCCACATCGACTCCACGCCATCTCTCCAACTGCCAATCCAGACAACAGCTCCTCGCCTGCTGTGCCTGACTCCCCTACTACAGTCGAAGAAGGAAGCAAGGGAGACGGTGCAGGGACCAATGCCACACCAACTCAGGAGCCAGTACGTATCATTGTGAAAACCAAGAAGAACACAGGAGAGATGGTGGCACCATTGTCGCTCCCCCAGCCGGCTCACAACCTTGTCAGGATCCCTAAATCTGGGTCGACAACCCAGCTGGCTCGCTTGAGGACACTCCGTACTGGTGGTAAGCTTGGTCCAACAGGTACAGGCACTCGTATCCTTGGAACTGCATCACCAACAGTTACCCGTGTCCCAGTGACTGTGCGCAAAATACTTCCAACCAGTTCACCGCATCCCTCTGAACCAACTCCAAAAAGGTTGTGTGTTACACCAGGAGCAGCATCGGCAGATAATGGAGCAGCAGAAGAAGCTCTGCCGTTCAGGTCCTTGCGAGTGAGAAACAATTCAGAATCTTCTGTTGGATCTCAGGCATCAACTAGCATCGGAATGAAGCGGAAGGCTTATGAACTCGATCCCTTGGAAGACCCAGAGATGGAAAGATGTCGCCGCAATGCAATAAACGCCAAACGGAATAGGGAGCAGAAAAAGGCACAGCTGGCAGAGTTGGAGCGCACAGTGGAGAGTGTTAGCCGGGAACGTGACCAACTGGCAGGGGAGAATGAGAGTCTCAGGGAAGCTAAAATGAAGCTCGAGCAGCAAGTGAAGCACCTAAGTAATATCCTCAAGAACCAATCAAAGCTCTCTGAAGTGATCAGCA